GACACCCAACTTTACTCATTCATGAGTCATTGACAAATTTGAGCAATGTTTGTTCTAACACTGGAACAAGCCACCTCTCAAGTCAACTTGGCCACCTTGACTCCAACACCAAATCTCCTGAATGGATGACTCAGCAATCCCAAACTCCTACCGCAATTAATTGAATACATTTGATTTGGATCTTACTTTCACAACTGAGACTCGCAGTCACTCCTCCTCTTCAGCTTCAAGCTCACAAAACAGAATTTCCAGAAAGAGCCAAGTGTTGCAGACATTTGCAGACAACAACAGGGTCAGCTCAGGTCATACGACAATGTGGCAACCACATGTACAAACAAGGATCACAACTTCACATGTTCACTGAAGGCTGAAGCTCTCACTGAGGTTCCCCACATGAAACTTGGCCATGAACACAGTCCAGAACACAGCCTTGCGTGCACTAAGTCTCTAATATGCATTCCAATTTGCATCATGCCTACCAACATGTCCCAACACCATAGCAAACTAACAATCATCCTTGCCAACACGTCGCGCCAATCAAACCATGTATGCACAGTTTGCCCATAACAAACACCAACTCACACAACATGTTCGTCAATGACAAACGCCAGCTGCTCAAGCAACCCTACATGCAATGCAGTCTTTGAGACATGTTTTCCAAGTGTGCAATCACACTCACTCTAAGTCTATCTAATTTCTAACTATATAGTTGCTAATTAGTTGCTCAGGCCATGCTTGCATTTGGCAGGACCTGCTGCAACAGCCAAAGGTTCTAGAGCCGCACTCCCTGTGTCAGTGTCCTTCTCATCATCGGCTTTCTTCTTGGCCTTCTCCATCTCCAGCTCACACATCGCTTCAATGGATTTGCTATCGCACTCACAATCATTGCAAATGCAAATCAACGCTTTCATGTCGTTCCTTACTGACAGCACTGAAACAAGTTGACCTTTTCCTCCATTCCATTTGGCACACCAACTACACCCCCACAAAGACACACTATCCACTGATTGGGTGACAGGTGTATGGATCTGGCACTAGAATATGATACCAAGGTTTCCTAAGCAAGCTTTCACAAGGACAATGTTGCAACAATGAAGACAAGAGTCTCTGACAACCACTCAGATAGGCATAGGCAATAGCAAGAAAGGCAAAGTCGCTCACAGCCAAGAATTTCTAGCTCTTCAATCAGATCTTGTTTGGATGCCATTGCCAAGGGCCCAAAGAATGAGCGCACGAGGCAAAGAATGGAGACCCTTGGGATGCTAGGCTAAAAGGGCTTGAGGTTAGACACAGAGCAGCAGTAGCAATTTTACTTTACCAAGTCTTCCGTCCAATGTTTGTCCAATAGCGGCATCCAGCCGCCCCACAAATGCGGCTTTGACACAAAACAACAAATTGACTTTGGGCGCTTTGCTAATGAGTGCTCATGTCAGAACATCCCACACCAAACAAGTGGTGACTCAACTCACCAACACAAACCTTTTGCGCCTTGTCAAACAGGCGCAAGCCATGTGCACTAGCCACACCTGTCTCTCAAAAGCCATGCCAACATGTACTATTCAAGTTCAATTTGACTCAAGAACACAACTCCAAGCTCATGAGCGCAATGTGACACCAACAACTAGCTGATCAATCCAGGTTGAGAAACAATGTGCAGCACTGGCATTGGGCACACTTTGAACATCCTGTTTAATGTCAGAACCTCCAAAAGCACTAAGTCACTAATGTCTCAAGTCTCCACCCATCTCAAACCCTGAGATGCAGGCCATTCATCAGGCATTGGATTCCCAGTTTCTGTAAGTAAAGTGTCGTGTATCAATGGAAGGTCATGACTCTATGACAAGAAACACAAACCATGCCAAACCATGCCAACTGCAAGACACACCAAGGCATGCCAAATCTCATGACAACCAACAAGACATGACATGACAACTGCAATGCAAATCTTTGATGTGTCCTGTAAGTTATTGGACTAGTTTGATGCCTATCGGACATAAAGTATGAACGGCTCAAAATACAATATTGACAAGTTGACACAATACAGTTCAATGCATTTTACAATGTCAGAACATCCACAAGCCCTAGTGACTCCAACCATCGCAAACCCATCAAGATCCAAGGCCATCACTGGACGTTGGAGGAGTTGGGCGCCCAGCACCTGCCAGGCACATCAGTGGAAGTACATGACATGGCTCAATGACATTCATGCATTTCATATGCAAGTCATGCCCACTTCACAAGACATGCCAACTGCACAAGGCCAGACAACTGCAATGCAAACCTCACTGACTCAGGACATGAGACTAAACTGACTGATTCAAAAGCCATCCAGTCCAGCATGCATGGCACAACTCTTTTCACTCACATCGGCGTTGACCTTTGCACACCATTGACTTGGATTCAAGTCTTCCTGCCGCCCTTTGGCTTTGCTGGCTTTGCCGGCACACTCCTCGATGCAGCGCTCTTGGTCTTGTCCACCTTCTTGTCCTTCTTTTCCTCAATCCAGGTCAATCAAAACTGGCCGCACACACTCTGACTGACTTGAAGTTTGAAATGAATGCTGAATCAATGAATGTATTTTGCATTTGCCACCTCTCTCTCCCATGACTCACCTCTTACAATCTTACAATCTTCTTTGTTGTCTCCCCTCAACTGAGTCTAATCTATTTTTGAGACAAGTCACATCTTTCTTTTTCTTCTCCTTCTTCTCACTTCTCATCGCCAGACTCCTGGTCGAACTGGAAGCCACACCACCACCAGTGAAGCTCTCCTCCTCCTTCTCCTCCAAAGGCCTCTTCATCCGCCAAGGTGGTGTTGGCGCTGGCGCCGGTGGCGTCCTCACCGGTGTTTCAACAGGCGGCGACGGAGGAAATGGCATTGTCACACCAAGCTGAGGGACTGTCGGCACTGGTGGAGGCATTGGCAAATCCACCCCAAGTGTCAAAGGCTTCGGAACTGCAGGAGGAGCTGGAGGAATCTCCATTCGCCATTGCAATGGAGCCCCACCCTCCAGCTCATCAGACTGCTCCTCTTCCTCACCCGACATCTGCTCCTCATTGCTCTCCTCCTTCTCCTCCTCATACCTCTCATCCTCCTCAAACTCCTGACCTGAGCCCTCAGTCTCAGTCGTAGAGTCCACCTTCTCGGGCTCAGGCTCCGCATCCAAGTCCTTCTCATCAGGCTGCTCTGTGATGCTGGGGCTCAACCACTCACGAAGCTCTTGGATGTACTCAAGAGACCGTTGCTCCACGCTCTTTGGGGCAGCAAATGATGGCCTTGCATTTGTCCTGGGATTGATTTAGCATGCTCACCTTTTTTGAAATGGCTTGAACATGTTGACTTGAAGTTTGATTGATTTTATTCATCTTACATTCAATTGAGTCAAGTTGATCAATGATATGACAAGACCTGATGCTTGCACACTGACTGAATATGTACTTTATCCAAGCAACCCAAAGT